CCTATGTAAGCATAATAGTATGAATGTTGATTGACTGAATATTTGATTGATTTTTAAGAGAGGGAGTCTCACTCTGTCACCCAGGCTGAATGAAGTGCAGTGATGTGATCATAGCTCACTGTAGCCTTGACCTCTTGGGCTTAAGCAACCCTCCTGCCTCAGTCTCCCATGGAGCTGGGACTGCAGACATGTGTCACCACACCTTGCTAACTTTTTTCACTTTTTGTAGAGGGACAGGGTCTCTTTATCTTGCCCAGGCTCATCTCAAACCCTGACCTCAGGCAATCCTCCTCCTTTGTCCTCCCAAAATGTCTGGACTACAGACATGAGCTACCCATGCTCAGCCATTTTTTTTTTTATTTTTAACTTTTAAAATTTACCTATAAAGAAGCCATAATTATAAAAACAAGTAAAATAAAAGAAATTTGTATGACATAGAAGTAGAATAGAAGAGGCAGAGGAGATGAGAGAAGAAGGTGGCACTAAATTCTTCATCTTAGGCTTATTATGGCTACATTTTCTAGGGTTAACGAAACATAAGTAGAGATGTAGGCATGGTTGTGGAGAAAGCTAATGCAGGCTGTGGGATGAACTGTATTTGACCATAAGTATCTGGTGAGAAGAACCAAGTAGGGCCAGGCATGGTGGCTCATGCCTATAATCCTAGCACTTTGGGAGGCTGAGGTGGGTGGATTGACTGAGCTCAAGAGTTCAAGACCAGCCTCTGCAACATGGTGAAACCCCATGTCTACTAAAATACAAAAAATTAGCAGGGAGTAGTGGTGTGTGCTGTGGTGTGCACCTGTAGTCCCAGCCAATCAGGAAGCTGAAGCAGGAGAATTGTTTGAACCTGGGAGGCAGGGATTGCAGTGAACTGAGATCATGCCACTAACTCCAGCCTGGGTGATAAAGCGAGATTCCATCTCCAAACAAACAAACAAACAAACAAACAAAAACACAAGACGACAAGAAGATGAGGCTTGGTGTAGTTGAGTAAAATTCATGCCGATTGCAGCAGAAACCTAAAGCACTGTCTAAGACAGATAAAGTAAGACATTACAATATTGAAGATAAGAAGGACATTGACAAAACAAACCAACTTTCACCCTAAATAACAAGGATGTAGGTATGAATCCAATCACCAGAATTATAAATAGAAACTATTCAAAGTGGTACCCCTTAGGGGGCAAAACTAAGATCAGGCTGGAAAGCACTTCTGCTTATCATAAATCCCTGAGGTGTGTTATTTATTCTTTAAGCAGATTTTATAATACACTGATTTGAAAATAAGTAGTATGATACTAATTTCAGTTTCTGTTAATGCTATCCAGTATGGTTTTGTCCTTAACTAGAAAAGGGTTCTAAACACAGAATCCTCTCTGATGCTATTATTTTGACATAAGGACATACTAATTGCTCCTAAAAAGCCAAACAACTGTTATCTTCTCTAAAAAATGTATTACCTAATCTCGGCTGTCCATTCTGTTATTTGAAAGATGACATAAGGCTGTTGGGCTAAAACTAAAGATCTGTTACACCAGTTCCAAAAGTAGTTGAGGATATTTACAAACATATCTACCACCCTAAAATGGACACTTTTGCCTATAATTTATATATTAAATGGACTCAAGTTTTGTTCCCAATGTGATGTTCAATGGTAATAAACTCATATATTTAAAAAGGGCTCACCATTCCTTGGCAAACTTGAGTGCACTTGGAGAACTTTTCCAAAGCTACCCCTGCAATGGCACAATGTTTGCTAAAGCCGCCTGTGCTATTAAGATTTCTTTTCATTGAGAAACCAGTCATTCAGAATTCTCTTCTGACTCACTTTGTTTGACATCATAACGTGTCCTTCTCTTTAGTCATATTAAAGACATTAGGAAATACAGGGCTGGGTGTGGTGGGTCATGCCTGTAATTCCAGCCCTTTGAGATGCCAAGGTAGACAGATAATTTGAGGCCAGGAGTTCGAGACCAGCCTGGCCAGCATGGAGAAACCCCATCTCTAGTAAAAATACAAAAATTAGCCAGGTGTGGTGGCGTGCGCCTGTAGTCCCAGCCAGTTGGGAGGCTGAAGCACTAGAATCGTAAGAACCTAGGAGAGAGAGGTTGTAGTGAGCCAAGATCATGCCACTGCACTCCAGCCTGGGTGACAGAGTGAAACTCTGTCTAAAAAAAAAAAAAGTTTTTTTAGAAAATACAGCACCATTAAGTGACTGTTTCCAAGTCTAGGTTCTAGCTAATGAAACCACATATTGGTCATGTCTCTGTGAATCCAAAAGACAGGTTTTGAAGAAAGGGTTTGTGATTGAGTTTAGATCGTGTGACATTGGGGCAATTCTCTTTTCACATTAAGTGCTTTGTGTACATGACTCTGATGGACATTATAGGGTCCATAAAATATTAACCCTTCCTGCCCCTATCGTGCTCAATACAGGATGCTTGAATTCAAAGCCAAGTCTCCTCAACCTATTGGCAAATTATATGAAAGAGTAAACACTTTGAAAATTGACATGGCCCTGCAGAATCCCTCCCAGGTCTCAGGAAGCACAATTGTAAGACCCAAGCTACCAAGCACAGCTTTCCTGAGCCTTGGTAATGGAGGCCTTTTGTGTAAATCTGGAAGGTTAGACAGTGTATAAAATATAATACAGATTCTCTGGCCAAATGAGCTGAAGAGCAATTCTGAAGCCATTATTCCTCTTTCTAAATATTTCCTCTTTGAAAGAGCTAAGTAATTTTGCTTGGAAAAATTAACCATTTAACCATTAATCATTAATTTATTTTATGTAATTTTTCTTAACTGATTAAGAATACTTATTTTATTGTTTTTCTAAGTCTTTGCCTTAAGCACAAGGAAAAAAAATGGATTAAAGTACTAAATGTGACTAGCCAGGTATTTTTAAAAATTGGTTTAATGCCTTTTACTGAGTTGAAAAAAAAAAAAAAAAGAACAATTTAGTAAAAGCCTTGAAAAAAGTTTCATAGTTAAACCTGAAATAAGCCCAAGAAGTGACTATATTTGCATAACTTGATCTGTACTTAAAAAAAATAATTCCACTGAAGACAACAATGGAAGCTTATCAAATCAGAATTTTACATAGATTTTCCATAGCCTTACTAATGAATACTGACTCATTGGTCAGTTATGGTGAAAATTTAATGGAGCTCTAAGATAAGAAATGCATGAATCAGAGTGTGTTTAGCGGTTCCAGTTCTTCAGTATGAAAACTGCATTAGCCATCCACCTTCCCTAATGCTTTCTGAGACCAATTCTAGAGCACTGTAGTAATTAATTCTTCAGCACTTCACATGGAGCCAGACCCTGCCACTGAAGTATAACCCCTTTTATTTTGCCACAGTCATGAAAAACTTGGATATTATGTAAAACTGGGATTATTGGCTGCTTAGCTAGTTATATATTTTTCAAGATGACAGTTAACCTGCAACTGAATCTTTCCTAAGAAAATGATCATCCATAGGATGAATTGTGAAGTAGAATTGAGGGTACTAGTAATACTCTTAAGTGAAGTTAAATCTATAGAGGGTCAATTACTGTCTACAACTAAGAAAAGTACTATACATCAGCGGGTAAAAGTCTGAGGCAAGTCTGATTTAAACCAGGGTCCCAGTTTTACCTCTAAATGCTTCTGTCCTAAGAATTTTCTATTCTATTAGCAATGTGTATGCTTTTGCTTCATGAAATTTCACCTTCTACAATTGGTTCAGAATGTCAGCTAATTTTTCTGATCTGCTCACCTGTTTCAAAACAGACTGAAACTGATAGATCGAACAGTTATTATAAATTATTTAAACACTTGTCATTTTAAGTAATGCTGAAAAAATTAGGATCTGCTTTGCCCTTTTCCTGAGAAACGATCACTTATTAAATCACCTTTCAATTTCTATAAAGATTAGCCTTTCAGCTTTTTTCCCAGGGTTAGGAGTTTCTTTTCACCCCTTTACAAATTCTTATATTTAATTTTCAAAACGTACCCATAAGCTAGAAAATTGAAAAATACAGAGAATAATGAACTTCATGCATATGTTTTCTTGTTTTTATAGCCTATATATTCTATAAGGTAATTTCCAGTTATAGAAATGTACGAATCACTGGTTCTGTGTAACCAACCATCCTTTCATCTATCTGACACACTAACAGTGATACCAACAATTATGAATAACAACCATGTTAATAAGCAGAGGGTGTTCATAGAATGCTTACTTTTGTTTCAGAAACTCTGTTGAATGCTTCCCATAGGCTATGTCATTTATTCCTCTCAGTGATGTATATAAGTATCCCCATTTAACAGATGAGAAAGCTGAGGCTCAGAGAAGATCGTAACTTGATCAATGTTAAAATGAATGGCTGGTAATCCAATTAGTCTAATGTCAGAGACCATGATTTTCTATTCTGGTGGCAAGCATCTATTCTTACAATCATCTATTCTGTAAAACTACCTAGTTATATAAGTTTGGATTGAGTTTTCAGATTGCCAGTTCTCAATTTCCATACGTTTTCATTACATGTATTTGTCTTAGACTTTCTTTCCAGCCTTACTTCAGACTATGACTAGGATGATCAGATAACCTTTTATCCAAATCAGGAAATTTCTGATAGGGAAAAGGGCTGGGTTAGTAAATGTGCTGGTTCATACTGACTAAGTCCCAGGTGTGAACTGGAACCACCCAGGCACAGGAGGACATGGGATCATTCTAGCAGGCCGCTAGAATATTCTTTCTCTGTTCCTCGTACAGAACACAGATCCTCTCAGGGCAAAACTAAGCATACTGTTCAGTGGTCCCATGACACCTTCTTTATTTTCTCAGGATCTGTTTTCTGGACAATTATTTTTCTTCTCTGTTATAGAGTAGAAAATTTAATAAGGAACCTAAGAAGAATAAAATATTATAATATTACTTTAGAGCTGATTAGCTGTGAACACAGAGGCGCATTCATTTATCACAGTTACAGTACAAGTATAAAATGACCTGTACCTTTAATAAGTCCTTTTTCTTGCAGAGTTTTCAGGGAAGGTCTTCGGGTAATAAACTTCTTTAATCTGCTTTTAACTCGATTTTTGTCGCTTGTATCAGAAGCACTATGATGCAGCCTGAACACTGAAGATTTAAAAAGAAATCAGAGGCTTTCAGTAAATTTCTTCTTTATGATTATTACTTTATGCAAATCTGAATAGAAAACAGTAGTTATGAAACAACTACCTGAATTAATAGCTCAGGCTCTTCTGTCTAGAACAAGGCATACGAGTAAAATTTGCTCACATGAAATTATTAGTCCTGTTGCAACATGAATGTACAGTAAGAATGAGATTAGCTCCATATACTCACAATTTATTTTCACCTTCATTTCCTTATATTTAGCATGATAACCTTTACATGGATAATTCCTCCTATTTATATTTATACACAAAATCATGGCCAGAGTAAAGAAAAATTCATTCTAAACTACAGGAGACAACTCTTTAGCACTGTTAATTTCAATTAAATTTGGTTATATAGTATCTCTAGCTAATGCAGGCATTTCTGAAGATCCTGCTTGTTTGAATAATTTTGTCAATCTTCTTTTTTATATTAACCCAAAGTGATTTATTTTTCTGAAGCAGAATTTCTTACTCTCCTTATTGATTTATAATTACTACTAGTTCTAGGTAAAATTCAGAAACATAATTTGCTTCAAACTTTCTCCATGTCTTCATTAGGCCCCTCTCCTCAGCTTCCTAGTCTCAGATTTATCTTCAAAGTCAGGTGCATGTAAAATTCCTTCCAGAAAAAAATATTCGCTGAATGTCTACTAATCAGGCTCCATGCTAAAGGCAATGAATTCAGGGATGAATATAATGCATAAGGTCTGGGTTTTCATCAAGCATATTCTTAAACGCATTCAAGATGTCTTCTTCTTCTGACACAAGAACAGAAAACCAAATGCGGCATGTTCTCACTCATAAGTCAGTGTTGAACAATGAGAACACATGGACACAGGGAGGGGAACATCACACACCAGGGCCTGTGGGTGGGTGGAGGCTAGGGGAGGGATAGTAGAGGGTTGGGAGATTGGGGAAGGATAGCATTAGGAGAAATACCTAATGTAGATGACGGGGATGGATGCAGCAAATGCACGTTCTGCACATGTACCCCAGAACTTAAAGTATAATTTGTGTGTATGTGTGTGTGTGTGTGTGTGTGTGTGTGTGTGTGTGTGTGTGTATAATCTCATACATATCTATCATCTATGTATCCGTCATGAGCTATCTATTTTTTAAATGAATTGGTAATAAAAGTACAATGAGCAAAAAAATACAATGACTATCACATGAGAAAGGTGGATAGCTTCTCAGCTATTGGGCTTTTAAGAATGGACACAGGGAGGGGAACAACCCACACCGGAGCCTTTTGGGGTGTGGGGGGCAAGGGGAGCATTAGGACAAATACCCAATGCATGAGGGGCTTAAAACCTGGATGACAGGTTGATAGATGCAGTAAACCACCATGGCACACATATACCTATGTAACAAAACTGTACACTCTGCACATGTATCTCAGAACTTAAAGTAAAATTTAAAAATTTTTAAATTAAATTTTTAAAAATGGGTTCTATAGGTGTGAGAATTAACGGATGCCCTCAGCTCTAAGGGTAATTTAGGCAGGACCAAGATAGCCTGAGTCCTTGGGGCAGTTGTACTATATATTCTTCAGCTATGAGCAGCTTCCACCAGTGTGTTATACAAGTATTATGATTTCCTCTGTGTATCTCAATAGTTTGAAACGCACTGCTTTAGACCTGTTCAATCCAATGTAGCCACTAGTTACTTGGTGCTATGGAAGCTTGAAATGCAGCTTGAGCCATATGTTGAAATAATAATGTCTTGGATGTTTTCAGCTAAATAAAATATCTTATTAATACATTATTTAAATTGTTTCTTTTTACTTCCTAAAATGTCCCTACTAGAAGATTTTACATTACATATATGTTTCATTTTGGACCGTGCTAGAAGATAATAAAAAATAAACATACACTGACCACCTACTATACGCATGGCAGTGCTGGGTTTAACTGTTGTGCATAAAATGTATATGGCTTACGTAATTATTTATTTTTATTTTTTATTTATTTATTTTTGAGACAATAGTTTCCCTCTGTCACCCAGGCTGGATTGCAATGGTGCAATCTCAACTCACTGCAACCTCCACCTCCCAGACTGAAGTGATTCTTATACCTCAATTTCCTGAGTAGCTGGAATTACAGGCATGCACCACTATGCCTGGCTAATTTCGTGCTGTTGTTGTTGTTGTTGTTGTTTTCAAGATGGACTCTTGCTCTGTTGCCTGGGGTGGAGTGCAATGGTGCGATCTTGGCTCACTGCAACCTCCGCCCCCTGGGTTGAAGCAATTCTCCAGCCTCAGCCTCCTGAGTAGCTGGGATCATAGGCAAGCACCACCATGCCCAGCCAATTTTTGTATTTTTAGTAGAGAGAGGGTTTTACCCATGTTGGCCAGGTTGGTCTTGAACTCCTGACCTCAAGTGATCAGCCTGCCTCAGTCTCCCAAAGTGCTAGGATTACAAATGTGAGCCATTGCACTTGGCCTACTTTTTGTATTTTTAATAAACATGGGGTTTCACCATGTTGGCCAGGCTGGTCTTGAACTCCTGGCCTCAAGTGAGCCTCCTGTCATGGCCTCCCCAGCTACTGGGATTACAGGTGTGAGCTGCCATGCCCACCTGGCTGTCCTGTGTAGTTCTAATGCAGCACAGTTAGGAGTCAAATGGAAATGTTGGAGACTAAAGGATCCAAGAAGAGGGGCTGACCTTGGGTCATTCTGGAGAAAAAACAAGTGCCCTTAAAACCCAAGCAAACAAAAATTGCTTTAACAAGATTATGAAGCATGAGTATCAGCCATTAACTAATTCAAAATGGTCTAGTTGGAATAGTCATTCCGAGGATCTTAATAAAGTGTGTTTATGTGTTATCCTGTCAACTTTCCATCTAGGTTCAGTCATTACAGTGACCACCAGTCACGTATGATCTGCTTCAACTGACAGCTGTAGTGAAAGTCCCAGGGGTCTGGGTTCTAGTGTTGGGGGCTAAAGAAACACTTGACATCCTTCAGAATAACTCTGCCTCAGGGCGATTTTGGTTTCAAGTCCATCTTTGAAATGACACAGAATAATCAATCTAAGTTTTTACAAGTTACAAAAGTAATATTTTCTATTTCTGGTCTCACCTCAAAGACCTTGGCATTTCCCATGACAGTATGCCAAGAAATGCAGGGCCAAACAAGGTATTTTTTTTTCTTCCATTTGGAACTAGTAAAAATGATGCCATTAGAAAGTATTTTGCAAATTAAAATATATACACATGACGTATAAATGCTAGATTATGAAAATAATTATGGTGTGAGTTATATCTTTTTGGAACTCCCCTAGGTATTCTTGTGATAGTATTCTTAATTAGAGAGACATATACGTATATTATATTGTCTTCAATACCACCATCTGGCTCCACATGTGAAAATTGTGTGTAAGGTGCATTGGTTTTTCAAAGAAAATGAAAATATGTTTTTAAATGCTTTATCTTGTTTCCTTCTCATACATACTGAGAAATTAGCAGAGTCTTGGATATGATTATACAGTTTTCAACATAGCCAAACTCTCCAAAGTTGCCTCTAATGATTACTTTCCTGGAGACAGACTAGAACATCAACTTCCATTTCCTGATGCCATAAATAATTGTCCTCAGATGACAAGTCAAATTACAAGGCCTGTGCCATCATTCATTCCACTCATTTTGTTCTGAGAAGACTTATGCTGAAGTTGAAGTCAATAGATGTCTTTAATATATAGCATACTTTTTATTAACCAAATAACTTGAAAGCACTATAAATACAAAATAAAAATGTTAAGAAGTGCATGGATATAAAGCAAGGTCCATCACTGGGACCCTGTAAACAGCAGTAAAAGTCTTTGAATATTTTGGTTTACAAATCTGATTTTAACAGCCAAACTTATAAAACAGTTTACGCTTTTCTGTTGTCAAGGGAGAAAAACTTGCCAAATTATTCATTTTAAGTAAATACAACATAACCAATTAAGGAAAGCAAAATTTAAACACATGCCTGTGATAATCAGGACATAGTTTGCTTCTGATTTCACTACTGATTTTAACAGAACACTGTTCCTTCCATTTTCCCACAGCACCCAAGTGACCCCACACATACTTTTAGAAACTTGTAATCACACAGTGCAAATAAAAGGACACTTTACTGGAAAATACACAGTGTGGTACAATAATCCATCATTTATGAAAAATAGAATTCAGCCTTTTCTTTTCCCTCAGAGATTCAAGTACTTTTTGAGGGTGAAGCTTCCTGCAGTTTAAAGATTTATGTTAAGCCAACGAGTAGTTTTTTTCCATTCCCACTTAAACTTTTTATTTGAAAATAAAAAGAGCCAAAAGAGATATGGGTTTAAACTCTAAAACATTTAATC